TAGTATGTGTGTAGTGTGTGTGTGTGTGTGTGTGTGTGTGTGTGTGTGTGTGTGTCTCTCTCTCTAATTTTCACGGTTCTAATATTTGGTCTGTGACACTGGATTAAAACGTTTTAATTACATTTTTTATGTTCTTTTCTTTACTTTTTGCTAATTTATTCCGTTTTATAGATTCAAAAATTTAATATTATATACCTTCGTACCGATGTGTCCATCCTTTTTTTTCCTTTCTTGCGATTTATGTATTATGCCCCGAATAAAATTATTGTCTTTACAATAATACAAAAATTCACGTCAGGTAACGTTGCAGTTACTATTTAGTTTGCAGTTTCATTATCAAAATATCTCGCGAATGTACATTTCTTCAAAAAGAAATAGAACTCTTGCGTCAAATAATTATTTGTTCGGAAATTAAATAATTCTATCCTTTGCCGTTTGATACTTCTAAATTTTCTAATAGTACTTAGGTTGCTTTTTTTAGATTAACTTCTTAGTTTGAATTACATCTTATCTTAAAGAAAGATAAAACCTCGTCTTTCTTTCTCAATATATATCACAATCTTTCTCCCGCTAGACAATCGTGAAGAACGTTGCAAGAACGTGTTAAGGATTGCTTATTGCAAAAAGAAAGTTCACACTTCATCTAATAACTCGCTCGAATAATTAACAAAGCTGGATAAATCGACAGATATTATCAAATACCGTTCCTCATATCGCGAATACATTTAACATGTCTAGCATACGGTGTACTATTTGCAAATAACGTACGGGAAGACACACTGCACATTGTTCTATATTTAATATACGAATAATGTGTAGCGTAACATTTGATTAAACAGTCGACTTGGTGTTTGATTGCATTAAGAGCAACGATTATAATTACATATTACGAATAGATTGTTCGCGTCTGCATCGTGTTTACATTATTTTTATCTAATCGAACGGAATAAAATTGTTGCTCAAATGAAAATAAAGCCAGCAAAATCGAGCTCTAACAAGCAGAACTGAAAAAAAATATCTGCATTTTCTTTCGGAAAGTGCAAACTTACGAATATTTGAGTGTAAAAAAATATGATAAAGCATAATATTACCATTTTATCAGAGCAAACGAAATACTTGCACGGAAAAGAAAGAAAGTAGCTGCCGTAGCTGCAAAAACTGCATGTGATAGCTATATTATGTTGTAATATATGACAGTAGTAATATCTTAGTTGTGATATTATATTATATTATTTGCTACTCTATTTATTATATTTGGAGCTAGAACAAAACGATTTGCTGTTGCTCCTGATACATAAATATAATAGCAAATAATATAGGTATCACAACTAAATATTAGCTATCCATATATTACAACATAATATAGCTACGGCAGCTATTTTCTTTTTCCCGTGTGGATATAAATCTAAACATGTAATTCTGTGCCACAGAACAATTTAATAGAAACAAAATTCACCGATTCTCGCAAAACTTCGCTAATATATATTAAATTTGTTTTCTCGATAATATAATACTTTCTTCAGAAATCTATTCTCTCTCTCTCTCTCTCTCTCTTTCTCTCTTTAATATACAGAGCAAATGTCCATATAAAATATTAAAACGATTTAACATTCTGCGGATAATTATAAATTTTACTCTGACGATTCTTTATTCAATTTATATCTCGCCTAAAAGATGTAAATTAAGAATATTGATTTGAAAGACGAAGACAAAAATTGGAAGAATGTGCAAGATACTATATATATATGTGTGTGTGTGTATATATTTTTACAACAATTGTGTCTCACGCATGTCAAATATAGCTCGAAAAGCAAAGAAAATACGTGGCTAAAAAACTCTTCATTTTCGTATGTCATAACTGAATATAAATTAATCATTTGATTCCAATGCAATATCAACGCTCAACTTTGATGGAATCCTTCGTATGATTAAATATTTTGAGGTAATCGCGCTACATTATCAGAGTGTGTCTGAATGAATAACTGATTTTATGTGAATTAAATCTTTCAACAACGAATATTAAAAAGAAACATTAAATTCCAAATATCAATCTTGCAGGAAAGTAGAACACAGCGGCATAAATATTACGTAACGATAATGTTTCTTCAATGTTCATTAATAATTAATAATTAATATGCGATTAACTCATAAAAATATTGATCAGATATTCCAAATTAAAAAAGGAATGTTTTCAAATGTACAAATATCCACTTGTATATAAATCGATTATGGATCTCGACACAAAAACTATTCGGGAAAATATTCGAATATTGTGAATTCTCGAATTAATATAAGCACAAAAATTAAATTAGATTAAAAGACCAGTCGATTCAAGTTAGGAGTTCTATTAAAATAACTAATAATCTTTCCTCACATCTAAAGCCTACGCTCTCAAGGTATAGTATCAAGGAATCCTATTGTAAAACGAAGAAATGCATTTCTCCCAGTCTTAAGACTGATCACATGGAAGTTATTTCGCTTGTCGCTTCACAGACATATACGATTGCATTATCACCACATCATATATCGATGTAAAAAAATTATACGGGTACAAACAAAAGCTGCTACAAACAAATTCTCTGATGCACAGTTATATATGACTGGTTTATAGAGAAAACTACTCAAACAATAAAGAAACTTGGATTCTTTGATGAAATTCGATCATATTTGTTTAATTTTACTTGAGTGCATCCACTTCCCGTCGCATATCACAATGATGCTTTATCAGAGTATATAAAAGCATCATATTGAAGATTTTACTTCGTAAATAATATATCAATTATACATTACCGTAATGTGCAAATTAAGCTGTTAATGTTTTGCAAATGCGTATCATTATTGCAATCGCATTAACATTGCGCAGCAAACAAGAACGATTCGAATATAACGAATATAACAAACGTGCGAACGGGCGTTTTCGAAGTGAACGCCGTGTGATCGTCATTGTCGCAAAAATCGGCCAAGTTTTATATTTACAATCGCCTGAAATTAAAGACACTTATGAACACAATGTCTTGTGTGTAATAAATATAACACTAGAGATGTACGAACTATTTGAATACGAATCGAATCGAATCAGATAAGATTCAATTCGACACAAATTTGAATCTTCAAAATTCAAACCTAAACTATTTGAAAATTTCGAATCTAGGAAGTTTAAATATGAATCACATACATTGGACAATATTATAAATCGTGTTTCCCATTAAAAAAAAAATAATACAGCAATTTTTTTGAAGAGTGCATTCCGTTTCACGCATACGCGCGCAAGATTCTACAATAATTATGTTTTCAATTAACAGTAATGTTATTTACTAATTTGATTCGCAAAGAGAAATTCGATTCGATTCGATTCGATTCGATCCGATTCATCGTCAAAAATCTTTGACTCGCGCACTCGTTACATAATCCCATGCCCAACAAAATGAAGCTCGAGTAGCATAAATTTGATACAGACGTTCTTGAGGGTGATTTGATACAAGAGAATTTTGTACTGTGTACACGTTATTATACAATCTCTATGGAAATATCTGCTTCTATGTGGAATCCTTCAAAAATGTTTTTATGCATCGTTATATCAATAAGCTACTTTCCTTCTACGTCGTTGTCGTTTTCTCTACGCGCGCGATCTCGGATAACATCATGTAGATTCCGTGAAAATTCGATTATACGGATGTCCCATAGTCCACGACAAAGGGCTTGACATGTCTGTCCTATTAAAACGTATTTGGACATTCCAATCAAGGATGAAGCGATAGCGCTTTAACCTTCGAAAACTACGCAATCATTCATTTCTGTAAGAATATAAATATCGTCTCGTCTAATAATCTCGCAATCGTTAAAAATACAAAGATTGAACTCTTATTCTATTCTAAATGCGCTATTATTGATTAAACGGTTCTCGAAGGTCAAAAGCTATAGAATATAACGCGGTTCTAGAAAGATAAAACTTGAAACTATACTGTATAATCTGTACAATACCGCAAGAGTTTCACTAGATTCACGATGGTTTAAAACGACGCGGTGCAACTTCTCTTGCGTTAAGGCGGTATGCTAGCTAATTTTACTATATATATATTGAAACATCAGAATAGAACGCGAAGAACATTTCGCATAAAATATGCTTCTGTAAAATCACGCATCTATTGTCAAAAATATTTAAAATAAAATCCAAATCTCGGAAATAGATCATTCTGTTTTATTCATTATGTAATCGTTGTAGAGATTAGTGTGGAAAGACGAATTTGAGAAGAAATATCACATCGTTGTATTATTTACTTTGACGCATTAATATGGCGAACTATTTTGGACCATTCAATACCGTATTCATCATTTTCACAACTCTTCAGATAGACCTATTCTCGAGATTACGTTTTATATATAGATTTCTTTTTCTAGTCCTACAATTTATAAGAGCGTAGTTTATGCATATATAGCTAAATAAACTAGTAATCGCCTTAATACCTCTTGAAGTAATGCAACTGTTATTGGCTTCATTTGATCAGGCATAAGGACAATTATATATACCCTTTTAACTTTGTCTTCCCATCAAATTCGCTATTCCTCTCCATTAGAATTTTACTCGTATCTAGTGAAAGAACTGTCTACTCCTAAAACTCTCATTAAAAAGAAAATCATCGAAAGTAACTACCAGTCTATGCATTCTCGACTATAGCGGCGATTATCGCAGTATTTGAATTGCATACCGATTGTGCACAATGCACGCTCGCGGTGACATAATTAATTGTAAAGTTTTTTACCCCGCGTACTTTAATCTCACCGTTCTCGTAGCCGTTTCACATTATATGCAGTTCAATCACAAATCGTGCATGACCATGCAGCGTACGGTCGCATGCTTCGTTATTTAGGACGCTTAATAGCTGGCCTCATGTCCAGCGAGAATGTACAAATCCGCTCCTTCCGATTCAGTCAATGTGCCACTGTGAACCAAGTGACTCTCCAACATCACAACCCTGTTAGAATTTGTAATAATTAATTGCCTTTCCTTCCGTTTATTCTTATAAATATATTTATATTATCGTGTGCTTTCATTACACACACACACACACACACACACACACGCGCGCGCACGCACATGCGCGCACACACACAAATATACATATCCAAGATTATCGACAAATGTTTGTGAATAAATACAATATCCATTAATGAAAAATTTAAGAATTGAATAAAGGCTTCTAGATTTAATTTAATCATATCAATTTAATAAAAAAAAGATTCCAAAAAATATAGTGTATTTCGTTCATAATATATTTTGAATAATTTCTTAAAATTTTTATTTAAAGTACCATTTCTATTATCATTATACAGATACATACTTATCTGAGCCAAGTAACCTGTAGGTTCTACTCGGATCACTAATCTCTTGTGTAACTTCACCATTCTTGAAACTTCTACCTTGCATACCATGCTTGTGAAATGCCAGTACACTATCAGGTAGACAAACTGCAAATATAAACAATATATACAATATTTTATCAATAAAAACGTCACATAGATCACAAACGAACGAAATGTTTAATACTTACTGATGGACTCGATTTGAAAATTAAATTGCAGTTCTGACAGCTGCTTCTTGCTAACACGAGGTTTCCCTTGTAAAGTTACCATTTTCACTACATCTGCAAATACAAAGAATGTGAATTCATAACATATCGTTGTATACAATAAGATACCTTTGATATTTTAATAATTTATATTAACAATACTCACTATCATAACAGACGAGTATTGCATCTTTCTCAAATTGCGTAACGTTAATAACGTTCAAGTTTTCTCGTCTTGGTATCACAGTCGCTGAAACAATATTTTTATTACAAAAAAGACAATGTATTTTTTGGATTAGAAAAATTACATTTTCAAACATTTTTAAAGACAAAGATCGTAGATAAATAAATTATTATCGTCAGATGTATATGACATAAAAATACCTGAGCCATCCATATCTTCCAATTCATCACTGTGGAACCAACTCGCTCCCGAATTCATATTAATTAAATCCAGCTTCAGTTTGTTCTGCTGATATGGCTGTTTAACCGATACACATACCATCGGATATTCCATCTCAGGTGTGATCACCATTTTAAAAACATTTAGAGGCGATGGTAGAACGCAGTCGAAGTGTTTTAAAAGCATAAATTTGTTCAATGGATCGTACCATTGCATTAGAAATATACCCGCTGGCATTGCTCCACACAAGTACTTATACCTATGTTAGGAAGAATACACCGTTTGAATTTAAATTTAATTTAACAAATTTAGAATTACAATTATTTCATATTACAGTAGCATGTATATCTTGCGAAGAAAATATATAAAAATCGCTTTCACTTACCCATTATATGGATTCCTTCCGACACAACATTTGGTACAACCTTTCGTATCCGGCACTTTCGTAGTTAGGGCAAACTTTCTGGGGACTAATCTCTCTGGTATTTTATTCATGTGCAATGAAAATCTATGAGTCTGTTTACTCAACATCGCTAACAAATCGTGCCTATACAACTGTGGTGTTTTTCCTACAATATTACATTGTTCATAATATTTAAAAATCATTATTATGCAGCAATGTCAATGATACACAATTAAAGTATACTTACCAGAAAGAGACATAAGAACATCCTTGATAACGTACATCCAGATAGTACGTCTAGGATACAACTGATCTATTGCAGTCTCATGAAGTTCGTTTAAGTTCAAATTATATATTCCTTCCTCCGCTGCAATCAGCAGATGTTGATCCCTCGTATCTGGATGAATCCAACTTGCGGTGCAATGTATTCTCAATGGACAGCCGTTGAATACCTATTAATAATTGTAACTTGTAAATATCTTACTAACGAGCTAACGAAGAATAATACAGTAAAATATTTTTGTAACGTTCAGTATTTTCTAGAATAGTGAAATATATGACATATACACATACAATAGCGAGTAATCAAAGAATAATTTATGATACAACGGTAATAAAAAAAAAAAAAAAAAAAAAAAAGAATAATTTATTACACAGAGTATTAATAATAAA